GGTATTGATCTGAGTTCAGTAAAATAATTTATAGGGTGTGTAATAGATGTAGTAGGCACTCAAGTATCATAGACACCATTTGTTTGCTATTTTTATCATAATTGCCTAGAACGCCTTGGATTCAATGGCTAACAGAGCTTTTTTTATTTCATCTTGAGTAACTGGGGAGTAATAAAAGTAAAATATCCAAAGAGACTTCATTAATTCTAGATTCCTAGAAGAAATAGTTTGAGAACGGAATTGAGGGTCCAATGAAGTAATATAAACAAAGTTACAATTAAAGTCATCTAAATTGCGAGAGGAGTCATATTCCGGGGAATTTGATTTATTAATCCCGAGAGATCTTAGGAATTTCCGCAAAGGTTATTTGTTTAATTTTGCCAAAAAAAAAAAACAATTTCTAGCCGTACAATATTAGGGTACATCTTTGTTTTGGAAACAAGCCATGAGTTTTTCCTAAAGATATTTTTGTTATAAAGGTTTTAAAATATAAAATAATCATATTATGATCCGCACTTTATATCGTTTATTTCAAAGGTGTGAATAAATATAATATATATAATATATATATAAATAGAATAAATATAATAAATAAAATAAAGATATAAATAAAAAGTAAATTATTATCAAAAACTAAGAAACCTTCTACACTCATCTAATTAAAACAAGTTAATATAAGTAACATACAAATGTTATATAGTTAATTGTGTAGAACACTTTCCTTGCCCTTTCTTTCTGTGATATTATCATACATGATATTTCTTCTTATTCGTCCTTTATCAGCCCTTAAAAATCCGCGGTCCTCTCCCCATGGATGGAAGATTTGCCATAATCGTTACTAAGAAAGATATGAATCATTGTTTTAAAACATACCTAAAAGTTAATAATACATTAAAATACATTATTAGAAATATTAAACAAACAAGTCCAGAAATAATATTTCCCAACAAAGACAGGAGTTATCTTGATGACAGACTTTTTTAAATTAAATATGATAACGGAAGAATGAAAATTTCAACTACAACTTAACCGCATGACAGGAATGCGATTTCGGTACCCGCACCCTGCCTCTATCCTCGCGGTTCCCCTAGTGACTAATTACCGTTCCGGTGTTCCCTCCCTAGTTCTAATGACGTCTTGGCTGTCATGCGTCTCATTGTTTTGATCACGTAGTACATATTTATGTTTAAAGTATCATAAATCATAAATGCGAAATAATGATGCTTCATAAAAGTGAAATTATTATTTATGGTCTATGGAATTTTGACGGGAACTTGACCACTGTCAGTTTAATGCTCATTATAATAGTTAGAAGTGGATTCTGACACGTAAAGTCGGTGCAATTTTATGATATATGTCTCAGATTTTTAATCCACTTTGAGATATATAGATATATAGGGCCTTGAGATACTATTGCATACATCATTTTGTAATCATTATCTGTCCACTGGGTCAAGCTGTCACCAGAATCTTCCAAGAAATTCGCAATGTGACGCATCAGCATATTGTGAAGAATATTGTAAACAAATTAAAAATTAGACTAGTTTGTAGGCCTTCTATGACCTTTGCCTGCCTTAATTGGCGAATCGTAACAACAACAATATCGATTGCGCAGTTTTTTCTTGTTTTTTACTACGTACTAGCTGCGTGATTATATAAAATCTTGGAAGTTAAAACAATTAAAAAAAGAAGATAATAATGTTTACACTACAATACGAACAGAAGAAAAAAGAAAAAGTTTTGAATGATGCCATGTGAATTATTTTAATGAATCCTAACCACCTTAAGAAAGTGTGCGAAAATATCACCAATGCCATAATTTTATGGTCACAATATGACACGACGTACCATTTTGTTTTCTTTGCTTGAACCTAATCGTTCCCCTTGATAGCGTGGGACCATTTCTAGTTTTTTTATGCATTGCTATTTTTGCATTATGTCAGATATCGAAATGAGTATAAGAAATTTCATTGAAATAAATCTCTCTTAAGTTAATAAAATATTTAATAACTTCTATAACTTACACATACTTATAAACTAGAAAAACACGGAGCGAATACTACAAACGAACGCACCACCTGTTATTGGTTTGCTCGCTTCCGTTCTGGAAATTTCGACCCGAAAAATGAATCCCGTGGTCGTTCAAAAACTTTGGATACCTACCCCTAAAAAGTGATGGTCACTGTTTGGTGGTCTAGCGCCGGTGTGATTCATCACAGCTTCTTATCATACGGGATGAGCATTACTGAAGGTATACTATGAAGAACTGAACACAATGATGAAGAAGCTCGCACGTCTCCAACCAGCTTTGGTCAATTGCTCGTCCCCGCTGCTCCAGCAGGACAACGAGCGAACTCATACTGCACAACAGATGGCCTGCAAGTTGTAAGAGCTGGGGTTGGAAGCTCTCCGACATCCATTGTACTTACCAGACCTTGCGCCTACAGAATTCTACTTTTTTCATAATTTGGATAACTTTATGGCTTTGATAAAATTCAATACCCGAGAGTCAGTACAAAATGCCTTTGAAGAATTTGTTGCCCCTCGTCCAGCTAATTTCTTCGAGAAGGGCATCAATTAACTGGCACTGATGATGAATTTATATTGTGATGTGATGATTATGATTGTGATGATGAAATTATATTTGTGTTAATGTTAAAGAGGAAACAACTTAACAACATTACTCACTTTCAAAACTAGGTTGTACATAGTTTTGATATTGAGTTACCCGTGTCAGATAAAACAGTTATCCAATGAAACTTTGAAATGATTCAAGTAAAGTTGTACGGTGGTATAATTAAGGTTGGCCAAAATCCTTCTAGTATAAATAAGGAGTTATTTATATTACAAGGATAAAAGTTATACAAATTAAAATATTTGTTAAATATTAAAAACAACAATATTGTATATTTTAGAAACAAACCCAAAAGTAAAGAAATGTTAATTAGTTTGCATATAGAGTATGTGGGTATAATTAAATGCAAAAAACGTGCAAGAGGTATATTGTACTTGCTAGGTATGGAGACAGAAAATTACATTTCAAAATATAGGCATGTGAGACATACAGACCAAGTTATGTTAAAGAGCCTTTGATATCTAACGATATCTCTGACATGCCATTTATAAGACAGGAATATATATTTGTTATTTTAAGGGAAGGTACTATTTGGTACTTGTTCAAAGTGAAAAGAGGTAAAAAGCTGCAAAAATAAGAATTCAGAAATCATAATAAAAATTTAAAATTATATTTCCAACTCAAATATGTGGTTAGTGACGATAAAACATTTGGTAGTCGATATTTAAAAAAAATTCAAAAAAATTAAGGGATACAGCTAATTAACTCAAGTCCAAGGTATCCTAAGTCCAAAGGGATGAGTGAAAAGCCAGTAGTTATTGTTAAAGAAATTATGAAAAAAATTTTAAGAAGGTGGATGCGATTCCAGTCTTGCCTTACTCAATTAAAGAACAACTCCACTAGCTTTTTTTGTATAGATGATGGGGTAAACGAGTATGCGAAGATTTGAAAAAAAAACTATTCATGAGTTTTTTTTATCACTGGATTTTGTCAAATAAAAATTATATTTGTCCCGTAATTCAAAATAAAAAAATAGTCCGCGCTCGATAATGCCGATGTGACATTTTTTTTGCAGGGTTGCAGTCTTTCTGTCACGGTCGAATCGTCAGATTATTGAAATACACACTGAAATACACACCCACTAAGGTGGGTTAATTACACGCGGAAAAGTGTGTCTTTTCCGCGTGTAACTAACCCACCTTACCTTAATCTGACGCGCTCGAGTATTTCTAACGATCGATTTTTTTACTATTCTGATCCGTTTTTGTCCCCCTAGATGCACGGCCCTACATAAAGGATGATTATATATGTATAGACTTACTTAACAGAGTGCAAGTTATCCCTCCTTAACCTTTCGGGCTTCAGTTAACCCCAAAATCCTCTAATCAGCTATCCTACTATAAGGCCTATTGCAACTTCAACATACTGATCTGAATCCTAATTAAATTATATTACGTAGAAAATTTATAATTAGAATTCCGAAGAATGTACTGGAAATTTAAGAGATTCTATAACCTTATTTCTTCGCAAGGATTTCGTTGTAAGAGGAAACTATTGTAAATTACAGAACAAAAGTTATGGCTTCCGATAGATAATATTAAATTATCTCATTTATACCAGATTTGAAATATCCAGACCGGCTACTGCTAGCTACGTCAAATGTCCGAGATTTCTAGTTCTGCGATTTACAATTCGTCCATACGTAATGATTCAACGAACTGCTATTGAACATAACAATTGTTCAGACCTCAACTCTTATTGGCGAAGCCATCGACACTGAATGTCATTTGTTAGCATAAGCTTTCAAGCTCAAACTCTGGTATTATAATGATTATGCTTCTTGGAAACCTTTTATAACATTGCTTTTGTTTCATAGACCATATATCATTTATGTCCTTAATGAGGAACTAATTACCTTCTACAACTGTACATTGGTAGGCAGCCACGATCGACCTCTTTACCTGTATATGTCACTATCACATTCTACAACAGTTCTTCGGTAGGCAGACGAGATCGACCTCCTTACCTATATATGTCTGACTGTCTGGCTGTATGTATGTATCTCCGGCAGGTCTCGAAAACGATGCATGGAAAACTGACGGCCGCAGGTATGAATCCCGCACGGAACAATTATTTGTATGGCCTACAAACAATTGTCCCGGGTTTGGATGTTTGTCCTTGTGCAATTTATGATTGGGAACTGCCTCCACGATACAGAAGAAAATCCTAGTTTTATAAAGAAAAACTTATTTGACATTTTCAAAATAGCTGACATTAAAAACGAGTACAAGGCGCTGCTCGCGTACTAAGAAGTAATATCGTGCATCATCATTAATATTGACGCCTTTTACTAACAATTTAAACAGTTTATAGGAAGCACTTAGATTGGAGAAGATGTCATAAATCGACTTATTTTTTTTTTCAGGAAAAGTAAACTCATTGTTTGGATTGGCAGAAGCTATGATGCCTTTGGTGTATGGTCCTCTCTACTCTAGGGTGTATATGGCTACTTTAACTGTGCTGCCTGGAGCAGTATTTCTACTTGGAGCCGGTATGACTGTTCCTGCTGTAGCTATTTTTGGGTAAGTGCGATACACAGAAATTTATTAAAACACTTCGTTAACTAATCAGTCAATCTAGCCCCTGTCTAGTCAGATAACTAACACAGCGTACACTTATAATAACTCACAGAAACACTAGCAACTAGTTTAAATTAAGTGTTGCTATAATTATGGGTGACGGCAGCATGCACATAAAGCCGCGTCTCCACCAAAGTTTTGTTGTCAACACAACATTTGGCAACAAAACTTGTTTCGATGTTTGGCGGCAACATTAAAGGAATACGCTTGTTGCCAACATATGTTCCTTCGGTGGAGACGCTTGTTGACAAAAACATTTGTTTACAAAACGTGTTGGCAAATGTTGTGTTGACAACAAAACTTTGGTGGAGACGCGCCATTACAGATGCACTTTATAAATTAAATACAAACTAAATTTAACATTCTAATTAGTAAGATACGCAATCGGTTTTTATTTTATTACTTTTGGTTTCAAGAATATAAGAAAAAAAATTCAAATAAATTTTTGCAAATTCAATGTTATCATATATTTTTAAGATTTAATAGAAAAGGTGTACTACATATTAATAAGTATTAAATTTTTTTATGATATGAGATTTTATTCAATTTTTTTGAAATGTTAAACAAAAAACTAATCTAAATATGAACAGCGTTTTTAAAAAAGAAGTAGCAATTGTGAATCAATATATTTATAACTGAATAGTCAACTAAGCTAGTTTTTGCTCTATTGGTTGAAAACAAATTATAGCTGCATAATCAAGTATAAGAAATATCTTCCTAACGTTTCTGAAATTGCGTCAGATTCTGAGTTATATAGAAAATTTGTGTTTACAAGCGACTGAAAAGCTCTATTTTACTGCTAGATAGTTAATCTATAAATAATATATATTTGCATGGTTAAATAAACAAAGGATTAGAGTAATGTGTATATGTTTTAAAATAACCGGTAAGTAATAGTCAGTAATACCACAACCTATTTCATAGTCTTGATATCCATTTTTATTTTTAGTATTCTTGATCTGACATGGTCTAACAATTTAAATAGTCAATGAATATGAAAATTTATTTCCGATGTACATTTAATTTATCATCTCTAATTATAGCATGTCAAAGGTGGTGGCATATTTGGGTATTTGGTTAATTCGTTATATAGTAAAGCTAAGAAAGAAAATATGCATCCTTTAAGCCAGTATCCTGCCCAAAATTATTTATAAATTTATTATTTCAATATTGAGGAATTGGTGACAATTAGTGACTTAAGAAAATAAATTAGTGACTCAATCCACATCCACACACAGTAACCACAGCATGCTGTTAATTTACAATTTAATACTATTTACACAACCTAAAGAATTCGTGCAAGCTGAATGCTTCCCTATTGAAAACCTCACGATATGATCGCGAGCTCTTGGCCATATACGAGAGTATAAAAAGCTTTACGCAAATGCTAGAGGCCCGGCACTTTGTACACATACACACCATACACGGCCATAAGCCACTCAGTTACGCTTTTCACGATGAGTTAGCCAACTAACCAAAATCCAACCTAATCGGGCTATTCGCCTCGTCAATATCGCTACCTAACTCTATTACATCTCATAGTTCACAACTGACAAATAGAAGGATAACGTCGTGGCAGAAAATTTGTCTCAAATTGAGGAGTTGCAGATGCCAATTGATTTGAAACTACCTACCAAATCCTAAACCTCTGATGCGGAGCTAGCTCAAATCTTGAGAAGTGAATCGTCTTATTCACTGCGCGTAAAAGAGTTGAAAATCCTGAACAGTAGTTCGGAACTATATACAGACGTGAGCATACCGTCACCTCAACCATTTGAGACAAAGCCTTACCGTGGAGATCTTTTCGAAAGCCTTTATAATCTCAGTCACCCAGGCGTCAACGCCTCAATCAAACTTGTAGCGGAGCAGTTTGCTTGGTCTGGGATGCATAAAGACCTTGAAGGTAGTCACAAAATTGTCTGACGTGTCTACGTGTAAAGATGTAATGCTCCGAGTCATTTCCTTTCGGCACTTGCGGTTTACCTAAGGCACGTTTTTCTTTTATTCTAATGGACTAGGAAATGCAATACCGGAATATCGGAATCTTAAAATACCGGGACCTCATATGCAATGTGAGGGACTAATCTCGGTTGTAAATTGAGCTGGGCAGCGTTCGAGAAATCACGATACATCTTCTCGTCAGATATACCTCAAAACTTGAAAACGAGTTTGTACAACCATTGCGTGCTGCCAGTGATGACTTATGGATCTGAGACGTAGTCCTTCACTGCTGGCTGTATTAGAAAGCTCAAGATCGCTCAGCGAGCTATGAAGAGAGCTATGTTTGGAGTTAATCTGCGTGATAAACTTTGACGTAAAGGTATCAGAGTGACCGACATTGCCTAACGCATTAGTAAGCTGAAGTGGCAATAAGCCGGCCATATAGCTCGAAGAACTGATAACCGAAGGGAAAAAAGGTTCTCAAGTGGCAGCCTCGTACCAGTAGGTGAAGTTTACGGCAACCCCCCACTAGACGGAGTGACAGCCTGGTAAGACATGCAGGAAGTCGACGTATGCAGGTTTCTCAGGACCGAGCTATGTGATATCCCTTGGGGGAGGTTTATGTTCAGCAGTGGAATTGTAAAGGCTGTGATGATGATGAATGATGAAATAAAAATAAAATCACATATATTTAATGTATGATTTTTTATACTATTATAGAATGCTAGCATTAAATAGAAGTTCATTATTAGATTAATGATAATTAAACATAATTTATTATATATTACATAGTTATTATAATTGGTCGTAGTTATGCGAAAACGTTCCAACTCACAAGTCACTCAAAATTGAAATAATATGATTAGTATACCTTTTTATTACCCGACTGCGGAGGGTATTGTGCTTATCAGCCTATATATTTATGTATGTTTATATGTATTTATGTATGTTTGTAAGAATGTATGTTTGTAATTCCGTATGTATGTATGTTTATTCCTTTGTGGCGCTCTAGAGACCGAACGCGTGTGCCGATTTTGATGATTGTTACGTTAATCGATTTGTCTTAATATTGTGTGTCATTAAAGACATGACAGTAATTAAAATTCAATATGGCGACAGTAAGACGCAATATCGTTTAAAAGAAAGAAATGAAATTCAACGAATTATGTCAAGTGGGGTATCATTGATTAGTTCTTTGAAAATTTTTTAACAGTGGTAGAGCCATGCGGCAGCTTTTGCTGTCGCACGGATGGGCCGGCTCGAACCGGGGTGATACCACGACCTCACAGAAAACCAGCGTGAAGTAGAGGTTTACCTCTGCGTTTCGCTTGGTGAGTGCAGGTGGCCGGAGGCCCTTTTTACTGGAAATGAGGCATTCCATCTTAGTCCTCACGGGTGACAACGCATCTACATTTTGATTTGTAATAGAGGATAGATGTAGATGTCTATGGGCCGCAGCAACCACTTACCATCAGGTGGACTGTGTGCACATTTGTCACCCTTATCCTATAAAAAAAAATTAGGTTTCTCTAGTCCTTTTTCATTTTGTAACGATTTATAGTTGGTTAGCGACCATTCTCGCTCTCAAAACTTTCAAAACCTATAATAAAGCTGTGATAAAGTTCTTATATTCCTCTCAGAAATGAGAGAGGCCTGTGCCCAGCGGTGGGACGTATATAGGCTGCAACTTTAACTTCAACTTTAATGTTATTACATAATGGTATAATGTTTATTATTAGTGGTACTGCATCATTCTAACAATATTTATTTATTTAATATTTCTCACTGTATGTTTCAACTCACTTTTTTACCAATAAAATGCATCCATTGAAAAATAAAATGTTTTTATTCGTTTGAAACCTCCATCCATCGATATCATGCATATCTCACCATCTAGTGGGGGGTCACTCTACGCTTCGCTTACCGGTACGAGGTTGCCGCTTGAGAAAATTTCTCATCCATCGGTTAATTGAGCTGTGTGGCCGGCCGATTGCCACTTCAGCTTACTAATACGTTATTATGTCGGTTACTCTGGTTCTAATACGGATATCCTCATTTTTAAGTCTTTCACGCAGTGAAACACCGAGCAAATGCCTTTCCATAGCTCGCTGTGCCACCTCGAGCTTCCTCATACGGCCAGCAAAAATTAATAGGATTTGAATACAACTATTTTAAGGATTTGACGCTTAATTTTACTTAGTTTTAAGTTTCGGCGTTCGGGTGTTTTGCATCATCTGTGGCCACGTATATAGAAAAATATATACATATCAATTAAACAGTTAAAACAAAAACGTTTCCAAGTCTATAAAATGCAAAACTTCATAGCACAGAAAAACTGGAAAAAATATAAGATCAATGACAAAAGTAAAGTTAATTGGTTATAAACAAAGGAGATAAAATTGCAAAGGTTAAAAAGTATTCTATTTTTATGAGGTCATCATTAAAAGAAGATTATAAGGAGTTGATTATCGGAAAAAATCAAAGGTAAAATTAAAAAAAAATATTTCTGTCTGTTGTGACCTGATGGAAAACAAAAAAAAAATTATCTGATTTGCTGTCAATGTATCAATATATTCTTGAAGATTGTATACAATTTTATAAAACCTTAACAAGTTCTGAGAACATAATTGATAATGTCAGTGGGTTTGGTGGAGATCCAGACTTCAACATAGAAAATGATAATATACCCGGTAACGATATAATATGACCTGAACGATATTGAATAATCTATTTAAATTAAAAAAATATCCTACTTCTTTTATTTTGCATTTCTTTTAAACATATATACATACATACATAAACTCACGCATTTTCCCAATGGGGGTAGGTAAAAACTGCAGAACGTCACCATGCTACGATTCTAACGTACTCCTTTTGCTTCGTCCACGTTTATACATATAGTCATACATGCGCGACGGTTGTGAATACTATGCACCTGACCTTTTTGAAGGACATCACCACTAAGTTCAATGTATATCTTTCTAGGGCATCCCCGACCGATG